AAGGAAGGAAGGAAGGAGGGAGGGAGGGAAGGAAGGAAGGAAGGGAGGTAAGGAAGAAGAAGGGAGAAAGAAGGAAAGAAGAAAGGAAAGGAGGGAGGAAGGGAAGAAGAAGGGAGGAATTTGAGACTATTGTTGAAAAGAAAAGAGAGTCAGATTAGAACACGGAGAACAAATGGAAAGCCTAAGATGAAGGCCAAAAAGAAAGAGGTTGTGGGTATGCACTGGAGTGATGTGCCCAGCTGTTAGGATGATCGTGTGGACAGGAGTTCTGTGGGAAATGTGCCCCACAACTGACCTCTGGGGTAGAGACGTGCATGAAGACACAGGCTCAGCAGCAGACGGGAGGGGCTCCCTAATTAAAGACTGAACAGCTCCATCAGATCCGCTCCTCAGGAGGTCACTGGTAACCATGAAAGAGGGAATTTCAGTGGTGCTGTGGGAGTGGAAGCCAGATTGCAGTGGGTTGAAGAACAAACAGGAGGTGAGAAAGAGAAGATGAGGAATGTGGACCCTGTTTGGGGAGGTTTGGATGAGAGGCGGGAGCGAGAGCATCCTCCTCCTCAGAGGTCACTTCTACCTCCTGGAGAAAGCTGGCAGAGGATGAAGGAAATCTGGAGGCCGAGTGAGACATTCTGTGGACCCTCTGAACGTGCCAGGGGAGGCAAGTTGGGAATCGGTAAGGGCCATGCATAACACATCAGGCTGCCAAGTCTCAAACCCATTGGGCCCGCCTTCTGTCTACACACTCCAAATCCAGTCCACTGTCTCTAGCACCAGGGTGATCTTCCTATAGCTCAAGTATGACCTTGTTACAGCCTTACCTGAAACCCTCCAGCTGCTACTCTTCTCCATTCTCACCTCACCTAAGAGATCTGACATTCAAAATCCTTCTGATTCCCCCATACTGTGTGTGCATGCACATGTGTGCACACACATGCACACACTTCTGGGACTTGAATTCAGGACCTGGGCACTGTCCTGAGCTTTTTTTTTGCTCAAGACTAGCCCTCTACCACCTGAGCCACAGTTCCAATTCTGTATTTCTTGCTGATTAATTGGAGAGAAGAGTCTCACAGACTTTGCTGCTGGGGCTGGCTTTAAACCATGATCCTCAGATCTCAGCCTCTTGAGTAGCTAGGATTACAGGTGTGAGCCACCAACACCCAGCCCCCATAATTCCTTTCAGTGTCTTCATTCCCATCACCACGCAGCTTTCTCTGCATCGACACGCAGTGAAATAGAGGGTGCATGAAGACACCAGCCGCCCCTCCCCCAGGGAACTGAGCTGTCTCTACCCAGCCTGCTGGGAATCTATGGCCTCATCCACTCAAGGGCCACACTGAGTTCTTCACTCCTTATGGAGATCAAACAACTGGCCAGCCTTGGCTCTTGGTAGGAAGAATTGTTCTCTGAAGCCGGGTGCCGGTGGCTCACGCCTGTAATCCTAGTGACTCAGGAGGCTAAGATCTGAGGATCACGGTTCAAAGCCAGCCTGGGCAGGAAAGTCTGTGAGACTCCTATCTCCAATTAACCACCAGAAAACCAGGCTCTAGTGGTAGAGCACTAGGCTTGAGCTGAAGAGCTGAGGGACAGCACCCAGGCCCAGAGTTCAAGCCCCAGGACCACCACCACCAACAACAAAAAAGAATTGTGTCTCTCCATGCACTGACACTGACTTCAATGCAATCAGCTTCTCTATTCTTAGAACCACTAGCCCTTGGTAAGGGCTGCCTGTGCTCTCTTTTTTTTTTTTTTGTCGGTCGTGGGGCTTGAACTCTGGGCCTGGGCGCTGTCCCTCAGCTCTTCAGCTCAAAGCGAGCGCTCTACCACTTGAGCTACAGCGCCATTTCCGGTTTTCTGGTGGTTTATTGGAGATAGGAGTCTCACAGTCTTTCCTGCCTGGGCTGGCTTTGAACCGTGATCCTCAGATCTCAGCCTCCTGAGTAGCTAGGATTACAGGCGTGAGCCACCAGCGCCCAGCTCTGTGCTCTTTATATGCCATTAAAAGGAGCAGTAGATTTCACCTCTGAAGGAAAGAAAGAGGAGCTGATAGGTAGATAGGGCTAAAAAGTGGCAGACATAAATGTGACAGGTAACCCATGGCCCATCATGGTGCTTCTTGCTCCCATAGTGCCTTGGGCTCCTGCTCAAATGCTTCTTCCCATAATGCTATGGGTTCCATTCAAACACTTCTTCCCATAGTGCCTTAGGTGCCTGTTCAACCAGTGAAAAGAGCTGGGGTGGTATATACATAAGTCATCAAGCAATCAGTGTAAAGCTCTCCGAGGATATACGGTAGAAGCTCCATACTATAAAAATGGCTCTCTTAGAGAAATCCATTGGACTCCTCTATGGGTTCCTCTACCAAAAGAGAGGCTTACTATTTTCCTTTCGCAGCTTTCAAAACTCTGTACTCCCACACAGCACCATGTCAGAGTAATTGTTAAACACACAATTCATTACAGAAGTACCCCAATGATCCTCTGATCATCAGAAATCGAGCCTGCTGGTTCTTTGCCTTCGTCCTCCCTGGTGTTCCCAGAAAGTCAACACAGCCATCGACTCCATTCTTAACATCTGCAGAGAAGTCAGGCAAGACTGATGAACTAAAAGCAACAGAAAAGCAAATTGCAGTGTGCTCACACCTATAATCCTAGCTAATCAGGAGGCTGAGATCTGAGAATCGTGGTTCAAAACCAGACTGGGCAGACAAATCCAAGAGACTCTTATTCCCACGTAATAAGAACTTAGAAATATAGATGCAGCTCATATGGGAGATTGTCAGCTCTAGGCAAAAAAAAAAAAAAAAAAAATCCTAGGCTCTGAGTTCAAGCTCTAGTACCAAGGGTGGGACTTGGGGAACAACAAAAGCATGGGAACCTTTATTAGGAAATAGAGCTGGCAGATAATATTTTTTTTCTGTCATGGGGCTTGAACTCAAGGCCTAGGCACTGTCCTTGAGCCATTTTACTTTAGGCTAGAGCTCTACCACTTTGAGCCACAGTGCCACGTCTGTTTTTCTAGTGGTTAATTGGAAATAAGAGTCTCATGGACTTTCCTGCCCAAGCTGGCTTTGAACCTCGATGCTCAGATCTCAGCGTCCTGAGTAGCTAGGATGACAGGTGTGAGCCACCAGCATCCAGCTGAGAAGATTTTTCACATGGCCAGATGTCATGGGAAGACAGCACTTCAGTTCATCTTCAGGATGCAGACAGTAGAGGAAGCATTGGGGCAAGGGGGCAAAAGCTCACATCGTTTTAAGAGTCCCATTTACAATTGTGGCCTGGCTGCTCAGCATCTGGTTCTGGTTCTCCTGGGTATTGGAGAAGTTGCTATGGCTATCATTATCTGAAGGGAGCAGTCTGGTTCCCAAGAGATGATTCCTCTGGCCGCAGGAGCCAGCCTGATCATTACAGGTAATTATCTTCATCTGGGGTGTCTATCCTGCAAATCCCTGCTATTTCTTAGAGTGGTAGAGGAAGATGTTACTTATCTGTCTGGTCCTTCCTGGAAACCAAGGTAATTACAAAGTGACCATGGAGAGACCAAATAAAGGCAAGGATGCTAGGCTCTTCTGTTTTTAATTAATTTGCAGTAGTGTTAACAGCTTAAGTACCTGTTACAGATGCATCTTCAACAGATTGAAAGTGAGTTGTCTGCAGGGTGAGAATAAGAGCATTAGCCTAAGTAGTATTTCCTGAGAAATCACTAGCCCTACATCCAACTTTCAGGGTTAAGGTTATCTGTGAAGCATGAAGTTTAATAATATTTTTTTTTCTCAGAGACCTTGGGATCTCATCCTTCATGCTTTTGACTAAGCTACCACCTATCATCCAGCTGCACTAATGCTTCTAGGTTATTGTCATTCCAAGAGGAAACAGAGGCAGGTTCCAGACAACCAGGTCTTAAGTTGCAAGGTGCAAGTGTCTCCTAGTAACTAAGATAAGGTGACCTTGGAAGGTGTGGAAGAACTCCAAGGTTCCTTCTCCAGGGCATTGCCTTGATTTTTCCCTCTCTGCCCTTAGGTTCAAATGGAATCACAAATACTACTGCTTAAAAGTATGGTGAGAGGGGCTGGGAAGGTGGCTCAGTGGTAGAGCGCTTGCCTTGCATGCCTGAGGCCCTGGGTTCGATTCCTCAGCACCACATAAGCAAAAAAAGAAAAAAGCCAGAAGTGGCGCTGTGGCTCAAGTGGTAGAGCACTAGCCTTGAGCTGAAGAGCTGAGGGACAGCGTCCAGGCCCAGAGTTCAGGCCCCACGACTGGACCCAAAAAAAAAAAAAAAGTATGGTGAGAATCTGGGAGATACTAAGGTAAAGCCCTACATCAATGCTAGCCGTCATTAGGCTCTTGGGGGCCTGTTACAATAGCAGCTCAGTGCCATAACAAGTGCATTGGTTATTTCCAAATTTAAAAAAAACTCCCAAAATAATACTACTTTTTTAAGTTTGTCTCTCTCAAAAGCCAACTTTAGCCAGGCACCAGTACCTCACGCCTGTAACCTGAACTACACAGGAGGCTGAGATCTGAGGATCATTCCAGCCCAGGCAGGAAAGAGAAAGAAAAGGAGGAGGAGGAGGGGGAGGAGGAGGAGGAGGGGGAGGAGGGGGAGGAGGAGGAGGAGGAGGGAGAGGAGGAGGAAGGGAGGAGGGGGAAGGGAGGAGGGAGAAGGTTAAAAAACAAACCGTGCTGTGGCTCAAGTGGTAGTACTCTGGCCTTGAACAAAAGATGCTCGGGACATCGGCCAAGCCCTGAGTTCAAGCCCCAGAACCGGCACCAAAAAGAAAAAAGAAAAGAAAAAAAAAAGCAAGCCAACTTTAGTCTGTCGGCTCCTCAGGCACACTGAAGACGACTATAAGCGAAGTCCCGCCTACACAGCCCCTAGGCCACGCCCCTCTCGCTGCCACCCTGTGTGTCGTAGGACCCCTCAACACTGATTGACACTTCTTTGCACCAATAATAAGTGAAACGTCGATCAACGTCCGGCGAGGGGCCGGGACTTCCAGGCTGGTTGCTAGGACACTCTTGTTTGCTCCTTGACAACCCTGGCGGGGGTGCGTTGGCTGCAGCCCGGCTCTGGCCCCCGCGGGAGCAGGTGAGGCCCCGGGGTGCGGAGGGCCGTCGGTCCGGCGGGAAGGGCGGGCCTGGAGGGAGGCGGGCGGGAGGCGACGCGGGCGGGCGAGGCCTCGCCCACCGCCGAGGCCCCACCCCAGTCTCCTGCCTGCTGGTCCCCAGCCCCGGGCCCCCCAACCCCACCCGCCTGGGGACCTGCGGGCTCCGCGCTCACGGGTTCACCGTCGCGGCTCCGCAGGCCGCTCCTCCCTCCCGCCTAGGCCCCGTCCGGTTTCGCGCGCTCGGATCCGGACCTCGACTCCCCCCTCCCAGGGCTGCCCTCTCCCCGGCCCCTTGGCTTGGAGGGTTGGTGACCTTTTGGGACTCTAGACTGGTCACTTCCCTTTGGGGGCCTCGGGTCGGCCCGTCTGTAGATGCAAAGTTGGGATGATCTCATAAGGCCTTTGGGTGGTTATTCTTTGAACCAACTGGAGGCGTTTGGAGAATACCTTCTGAGAGGGAAGAAGGAACTTGGCAAAGCTAATTCGGCTTCCCAGTTGTAGGAAGGACCCTCCCAAGTGTACCTAGCTGCCCTGAACACCCGCTAGGTGCACGTCCTAATCAGGGCTCCTCTGGGAATTCCGAGGATAATACGATTGAAGTAGGAGTCAGGTCCCGTGTAGACTCATTAGAGTGTCAGTTTCCTGTCTTTGTCTCTTCCTTTCCCGTCTTATCAACTCCTTTAGCCTTTCCAGTTGACTCTGACACCTGCTCTCTAGCTTTGACCTTTTCTTGGTTTTGTGGTTAGGAAGACTTGGTGTGGGGTGAGGAGACAGGAGGAGATTCGTACAGTGATGTTATCTACTGGACTCAGTGCCTTCCCTTCTGCCTCTGTTGCCCATGATTTTGTGACTTTTTTTCCTCCTCCAACTGGACACCTCCATTTATCCTCTCACCCCCAATTTCTGGTCAGTAGTTCTAAAATCAAACCAACCTGTTGTTCAGGGTGTCACGTCACACTCCTTCAGTCTATTCCTCTAGGGCAGTTCTCAAGTTTCCCAGTTTATCCAAAATCGGCTCCAGGAGGATATCATACCCCTTCCATTCCTGAAGCCACCGCCTGGTTTACGTGTGTGTGTGTGTGTGTGTGTGTGTGTATGTTCCAGTACTGAGGCTTGTTCTCAGGGCCTGAGCACTGTCCCCTGTTCACTCAAGGTTGAGGCTCTACCATTTGAGCCACAGGTCTACTTCTGACTTTTTTGGTGGTTAATTGGAGATAGAGTCTTGGGGACTTTGCTCCCTGAACTGGCCTTGAACCTCCGTCTTCAGATCTCGGGTGTGAGCCTCTGGTGCCCAGCCTGGTTCTAGTCTTTAATGCTGTCACCTAGGCTATTATCCAATACATCAGAACAAGACAACAGTGTCTCCAGCCACCAAGAAAGCTCCCAAGTGCTTCCCATTCCTCACACTTACTACACCTGGGCGTTAGGGCCCTTTACACTTTCTCTCTATACCCACTCCAGTCCCCCCGCCCCCAGCCTTATTTCTTCCCTTTGCCACATTCTGTCCTCCAGCCAGATTGAGTGGCTGGACTTTCCCAAAAAGATGCCTTGACCCCCCCTTCTACCTTGAAACACTGGGTTTGCCCTTCTCTGCCTGAAGCTCTCCTCATGCCCACCTTTCTACTCTCTAGGCTTGACTCCATGGTGCCCCTGCCACCAAGCGTTTCTTGCTGTCCTCTTCTATTTCCTTCCCTTCAAGAATTTTCCTCATGCCTCTGTCCCTGCATCTGTCTTGTGTGCTTACTGCCTTCTGCCATGAACTATAGCTCCTTGGGTATGAGTGTTTGGTCCTTATATTACATCAGAGTGGAAGCTCCTTAAAGGCAGAGACTGACTCTGTGTGTGTGTGTGTGTGCGCGCACGCGAGCGTGCACGCGTGTGTGTGTGTGCTTGAACTCAGGGCCTTATAGCTGGTGCTTTACCACTGAGATTTTTTTGCTGGTTAATTGGAGATGAGTCTGTGGGATTTGCTCTGGGCTAGCTTTGAACTGTGAGCCATCAGTACCTGGCTCTTGCTTACATGCTGATCAAAGTATACCCCTGGGATCCAAGTACATCCGGGCTGGAGCCCTAGCTCTGGCTCATCATTCACACAGGAAAAGCAGCACCTGACTTATGGGAGAGTGAATGAGAACTTATGGAGAGCTCCTCTCCTGTGCCTGGCTGGAGATCAGCAATCAGTAAATACTGGATGGTTTCTATAGGGCCTCTTCCTTCCCAGGGGGCAAAAGAAATACAGTTTCATTACAATTCCAGTATTTTTGCCCTTCTGCCATGCACCATACTCGGGTCTGTGTGTTCCAGGGCCCTTGGCAGAGACTAAATAATGTCCTTCAACCTCAGAAGGGATTTGTCTGGACTTTGGCACACAGTAAAGTGATGCGTTGTGAAATTAGCGATTGCTAATGCATTCTCAGGAAATAAACGAGTGCTCAGTCCAATTTGCTTTGTGATAATGTCTTTCTTAGTCCCTTACTGTCAAGTGTTCAAGTCTCTCTGCTAAGTGGGGAAGAAGTCAGGTGGGAGACTGCTCTCATGCACAGCCAGTGGTGATACTGGCTGTGATTTCTTGTTACACTTGTCTCTTGACAAAAAATATTTGTCATCAAAGTGGAGTGTACCTCGTGAGTCAGTGTCATTTTGCCCCATGACTGTAGACAGCACTGTTGAGAATTATTGATCTAGAGTGGTCAATACCAGCCCCCCTCTTTTTTTGTCGGTCGTGAGACTTGAACTCTGGGCCTGGGCGCTGTCCCTCAGCTCTTCAGCTCAAGGCGAGTGCTCTACCACTTGAGCTACAGCGCCACTTCCGGTTTTCTGGTGGTTTATTGGAGGTAGGAGTCTCACGGTCTCTCCTGCCCGGGCTGGCTTTGAACCGCGATCCTCAGATCTCAGCCTCCTGAGTAGCTAGGGTGACGGGCGTGAGCCACCGGCGGCTGGTGACACCGGCCCTTTTTGCCCCTGCCTTTCTTGCTGCCCTTGCTCCTCGTTCTCCTCCTCCCTCAGGGTTTAAGGCACAAAAAAGTTATCACTGGAATTCAGCAGGAGGGCAGTAGGGGGCAGTGAGGGTTGTGCTAACAAAACAGCCTTGTGTGGGAGGCATTGTGGGTTTTCTTTTTCTTTTTTGTGCCCGTACAAGGGTTTGAACTCAGGGCCTCATGCTATACTTATTTTTTTCCCTGCTCAAGGCTAGTGCTCTACTTGTTGAGCCACAACTCCATTTCCAGCTTTTTGCCAGTTAATTGGAGATGAGAGCCTCAGGGACTTTACTTCCTGGACTGGCTTTGAGCTATGATCCTCAGATCTCAGCCTCCTGCATAGCTGGGATTACAGGTGTGAGCCATCAGTATCTGGCCGCAGTGTGTTTTCTTGAAAAGAGCTGGCCTTTATTTTGAGTTGCTCCCTTACTTGAAATGCCCTCGTTGGTAGTAGACAGTGGTTTCCTAATGCTCTTACTTGATGAGAGTGAAGCAGGACACTGAGGTTCTACCCCTCCCCCAGTTGGTCTGGGAACCTGACACCTCTGGAAACCCAGATTTCCACCTTCCTTCCTCACCTCACTGTGGATGTTCTGAGTGAATGCCTGCTGTCCTTGGACCCGCTCCCCTTGTCAACTTCCTTATTTGTTTGCCAGAAGGCAGTGGGTGTGGGGGTCAGGAGAAGGCAGCGAGGACCAGTGTGCGCACGGTCTCTGACCTGCTGGAAGTAGGGGAAGGATTGGGACCAGGGCTGGGCTGGTGGGTGCTGATGCTGAAGTCCTTGTTTCTCCCTTATTCCAAGAGAGAGAGCACAGAAGGTATTCATCTGTTCAGAAGAATAGATCTGGGTTCAGGCCCTGGATCTCCTGTTCCTGGCTGTCCCTTCCTCCCAAAGCTCTCAGCCCCAGATACTGAGTCTGAGAGCTGGGAGTGATACTTCCATCCCAGGCCCATCATGAGGTTGACAGTATCCACAGTGTAGCCACAGCGAAGCCCAGTTGGGCCTCCTCCCCAGCTTGTCACCTGGGAACTCAGAAAGGGAGCTTTTGGCTGAATGCTTCAGTGTAGTGCCTAGGTTCGGCTGGGCAGGGAGTGTGGAAGTTCCCTTCCTGCCACGCCAGTAACAAGGTGATTTCTGTGAGGTGGAACCTATTCACGCCATGTAGGAAATCCAGGCTCAGAGGAGTAGCCTATGTGGGAAGCAGATGAGACGTGGGAATGTGGCACAGGCCTGCAGTGGCGCGCTGAGGGGGTCCTGCAGTTTTAGAAACAATGTAGGTTATAGAGGACTGAGAACCCCAGTACTGACTGGGCCTCTCCTCCTCTGGGGGCCGCCAGATGCTTTGGGCCTTATTTTCCAGAGTCCATGCATGTTCTCACCCCTCCTGTATACCTGAGAGAATGCGGGCAGCGGGAGGGCCAGGGCTGCCCTGGCTTTGCCGCCCCACTGTGGGCCCAGTGGCCGGCATGGACCCTCAGTAGTGACACATTCAAACACCCTGGATGTTGGCATGCTTACATTATTCAAAGCAGTTCCTGGCCCGACACAGCCTCTCAGGCCTGTGCATGTGGGAGATGGATAAGGTTATTAAAACCCGAGGTGTTGCTATTTTGGGCAGTGTCCCTTCAGTGGAGTGTGCTAATTGTGGACGAATGACTATTACTGTACTGTAATAACACCACGTCATAACAAACAAAATTCTCCCTTCTGTTTTTGGAAGCACAGCGGCTGTAAGTACTTTCTCTTCTGGAAGCCTCATCTATTTTGGATCAGCAGAAGTGTGTGTGGTTAGCCAGGGTGCTGGTGGCTCATGCCTGTAGCCCTAGCTACTCAGGAAGCTGAGATCTGAGGTTCAAAGCCAGCCTAAACAAAAGAAGTCCAGCTAACCAGCAAAAAAAGAAAAACTGAAAACTGGAGTAGAGGTGTGGCTCACGGTAGAGTGCCATCCTTGAGTGAAAGAGCCTAGTGACAGTTCCCCATCCCGGAGCAAAGAAGCCAAGCAAGAGTAGGAGGCTCCAAGAACTCCACATGTGCACGTGTGAACACACACATGCATGCACGTGCACACACAGAATCTATGTGGTGGTTAGGAAAGGTCATTTGTGATCATAAGTCATGGTGCTTGATAAACATGCCTGAATACTGCCCACCAGGTGCTGGCCCGTCAGATGGCGGTTGTGAATGGTGTGGTGACGGTCTCAGGAGGGCCTCAGCACCTGCAGCCCTCCTCAGGTGCGGACCGGTCTGTGTGATGCAGGCATTAGCCTGCCAAAAGTGGCAGTGGAGCCGGTGCCTGTGGCTCACGCCTGTCATCCTGGCTACTCAGGAGGCTGAGATCTGAGCATCGCGGTTCAAAGCCAGCCCGGGCAGGAAAGTCCGTGAGATCTTATTTCTAATTAACCACCAGAAAACCAGAAGTGGCACTGTGGCTCAAGTGGTAGAGTACCCAGGCCCAGAGTTCAAGCCCCACGACCAACAAAAAGAAAAAAAGATTGACAGTGAGTCTGGGCAGGTGGCTCAGTGGCAGAGTGCTTGCCTCGCATGCACAAAGCCCTGGGTTCCATTCCTCAGCACCACATAAGCAGAAAAGGCCGGAAGTGGTGCTATGGCTCAAGTGGCAGAGTGCTAGTCTTTTTTTTTTTGGTCCGGTCGTGGGGCCTGAACTCTGGGCCTGGGCCCTGTCCCTCAGCTCTTCAGCTCAAGGCTAGCACTCTACCACTTGAGCCACAGCGCCACTTCCGGCTTTTTTTCTTTTTGCTTATGTGGTGCTGGGGAATCGAACCCAGGGCCTCAGGCATGCAAGGCAAGCGCTCTACCACTGAGCTACCTTCCCAGCCCCCAGAGTGCTAGTCTTGAGCTGAAGAGCTGAGGGACAGCACCCAGGCCCAGAGTTCAAGCCCCATGACCGACAAAAAAAAAAAAAAAAAAAGATGGACAGTGGAAGTCCGGATCCTCTTTCTCGGAGACAACCCAGGTCTGGGTTAAGTGATTTGCCACAGACCATGAGACCCTGTCATTCTCAGGACAGCTGCACCCCTCCACTCCTTGATAAGAGTGGAGGGGAGGCAGTAGCGTGACCATCACTAGAACTAGAAGCACAGGATGGAGTGGAGATGGGCCTTAACGTCGATGAACAGAGACAGATTCTCACCAGATTTGGTGAGATGAGAAACCTGGCCAGAAAGTGCAATGCAATTGTGCTCGGAAAGCTGCCAGCTCGTAGAGATGACAAAACTGCTAATGATCTGAGGAGTATTAGGAGATAAGAGGAGCCATCTGTCCCCTGGGAAATCAGAACATGCCAGGGTCGTAGAGCAGTGGAGTCTGTGCCAGGCCTTGCTTAAGGAAGCTGGCCAGGTGGGTGGCATTGAGGGCTTCAAAAGCATCAGAGAGGGGATGAAATCAAGAGTGCATCACAGCCCCAACAGAGATGGCCTGCCAAGCACAGAAAGCTTGGGTCCTGGGTCACATCTGAGCAGCAGCTGCTGGAAGGGAGAGCAGAGGTTCCCATCCTCACGGACTAACCCAGCTGCCCTGTTGGTCAGCTCTGCGGCCATGAACTGAGGAGACACCAAAGGCAGGGCTTAGGTGTGTCCACAACTGGCCAGGGCTCAGATCCAAGCCTTGGCCACACCCAAGATGAGTGACCTCAGGCCAGTGATCTTGGCCCTCCTGCCTCCATTCATACTGGCGATGATTTCCAGAGTCGGTGCAATGACGCATTGTGTACAAGCAAATATATACTCCCTACCCGTCACTGTCTACCTGTTAGCCCAGTACAGTAGACTGAACGTATAGTCCCAGCTTCTCAGGGAGTCCTTGAGCCCAGGAGTTCAAGGCCAGCCTGGGCAACCTTAACAAGACCCTGTTTCAAAGAATGTGTGTGTGTGTGTGTGTGTCCCTTATTACACACACATACACATCCATACATATATGCTAGGAATCTTGGCGTTCCATGGCTGTGTATGGCATTGCTTATTTGGGGGTGACATAAATGGTGACATAACATTTTGTGCTTGTCAAGTGTAGATTGTTTAAAAGGCTCATCAAGACAGTGATTTGCATTCCTCCTTGTCATGCTTCTGAGATAAAAAGCCCTTGGAACTATGGGCCACGTTGCCTTGTGGAGTAAAGGATAAACATGTAGGATCCAGGCCCATCTTTTAGGGGAACATCCATTACAGATAACTAGATATCTTGCGGGGGGCACTTGTATGTGTCTTAAGTTGCTGTAATTTCCTGTCATACCTGTGTGTGGTCTCTATTGGTTTTCCCAAGAACTGCTGAGATGTGACCCTGTCCTGTGTACGTCATGTCACTGAGTTCTCAGTGAGGAATGTGAGTGGCCCATTACTAACAATGAATGACTCGGGCCCGCAGGCACATAGCTGGTCACTCCCCTCCCTTCCTGTGCCCAGGCTGCCTAGACTCCTGTGCCAGAAGCCAGGATCTGGTGGCCTGACAGAGAAGGTGCCAAATGCCATTCCCAGTCCTCCAGAGGGGACCCAGAGTGTCCGTGGTCACCTGAACGTTAGCTTGGAGCCCGTGTCACTGGCAAGTGAGGCTGGTGTGCGCGTTGCCGGCTCCAGCTCCACCCTGGGCCTGGCCCACAGTCAGCATCCGCCTTGACAATGACAGTGTGTTCTCACAGCCTCTCGCGTTGACTCACCCTCCGTCTGCAGACTTGCTGGCCATTTGGAAAGGATGCGGAGGAGTTAAGATGGGGAGGTGTCAACTTGTTACTGAGACATTTCTAATTTGTGATGTGTGGTTTTAAAGCCAGCTCTTCTCTCCTGGTTTTCCTGTTTTCTCCAGCACCCATTGGGGAAAGGCATCTCTGCTCCCACCAAGTTGGCAGGGCTGCTTCCTGAGACTTCAGGGCGCCCAAACCACCAGCGCCAGCATCTCCTGAAGGCCCACTCCCTCCTGCAAAGGCCACAGTGGAAGGAACATGGGAGAGACCGAGGGAAAGAAAGATGAGGCTGATTACAAGCGCCTGCAGACCTTCCCTCTGGTCAGGGTAAGCCAAGGGAGGGAGACAGGTGGCCCCCAGGGCCCACACAGCCGGCAGGCCGGCAGCGGGGAGAAGAGAGGGCCCTGCTGGCTCAGATGCCACACCCGGAAGTCAATAGTGATTCATTCATTCATTCATTCATTCACCAAGTATATATTTAGGCCACCTGCTCTGTGCCAGGCTCAGTTCTGGCACTGTGGGGGTGGCGACATGAGACAGATGGCAGGCTGACCCATGTGAGGGGAATGCCCTCGGAGCAAGCGCTCCGAGCAGGTACGAGAGGCAGGGGAGCAGGGGCCGGCCCCGGACGAGATCAGACCCGGGTCCAGATCAGCAGCAGGCCTTGTGACAAGCCAGGGAAGAAGACTCCCAGCAGGGATGTGGGATGCTGGGCAGGATGACCTCAGCATTTTAGAGGAGCAGAGTGAAGGCAGTGCGGCTGGTGTGGGCTGCCAAGAGGGGTGGCGGGGTCTGAGGTCAGAATGATGGGGGCAGCCCGCGCAGAGCTGGCCAGAGGTCACAGCAATGAGGCTGGAGAAGTGACGGGTCTGCCCTGGGTTTTTAGAGATGAGGAGGCTGAGATCTGAGGATCGTGGCTCAAAGCCAGCCCAGGCAGGAAAGCCCATGAGACTCTTATCTCCAATGAACTTCCAAAAAGTTGGAAATGGAGCTGTTTGTGGTGGAGCACTAGCCTTGAGCAAAGTGCTCAGGGACAGTGCCTAGGCCCTGAGTTCAAGCCCCAGGACTGGCACACACACACACAAATGACCCTAGCTGTTGTGAGAGCAGACTGGGCAGGACAGTAGCAGCGAGGGCGCACGGGCCAGAGGGACGGGCCGCTTGGGATCTGAAGCCCAGTCGTGACTCAGCAGAGGCAGGACACCTGCCTGAAGGCAGAGCAGCAGGACCCGCTTCCAGGGCAGAGTCTAAAGGGAAGAGGGTCAAAGGTGGTCCCCAGGGTGTGTCTCCTGAATAACGGGAAGATAAGAATGTGCTAATTACCAAGAAGGGAAGGTGTCCATAGACCAAAATTGGGGGAAAATTTTTTAGACACCTGAGTGAGATAATTTTTTTTTTTTGGGTCTGGTTGTGGGGCCTGAACTCTGGGCCTGGGCGCTGTCCCTCAGCTCTTCAGCTCAAGGCTAGCGCTCTACCACTTGAGCCACAGCGCCACTTCCGGCTTTTTTCTGTTTATGTGGTGCTGAGGAATCGAACCCAGGGCCTCAGGCATGCAAGGCAAGCGCTCTACCACTGAGCCACCTTCCCAGCCCAAGATAATTTTTTTATACCTTCAAGTAATATATACATTTTTTTAGCCATCTAAGGTTTTCAGGCGGGCATGGGAGCAGGAGAGTCTGGAGTCTCGGGAAGAAGTTGGAGCTGGGGGTGATAATGTAGGAAGTGTAGCCTGTGGATGATGCAGCTCTGGGGACACAGTGGCAGAAGGAGCCAGTGGAGCCAGGGGACCTACACGCTGACAGGGTGAGGGCTGGGAGGGAGCCAGGGCTGCGGGGGGAGGCCCGGCCAGGCAAGGCTGCGCAGCGCCTCTGGTTCTCAGCAGCGCCTGCTGTAAACCGGGCATTCTTCCATTCCACCCTGTCCCTGGCTTGCTGAGGGGTTCAGCTCCACCCCACACCCCCTTTTCCCAACCCTCAGCCCTGCCCAGGGCTGCGCCAGGGAAGGCACCTGGTGCCCATGCTTTAAGAGGCTGGCCAGGAAGGCCAGTCGTGGGCTAAGCCTCTCTCTGTTTGTCACTCTGCCCCGTCTCTAGCACTCGGACATGCCAGAGGAGATGCGAGTGGAAACCATGGAGCTATGTGTCACAGCCTGTGAAAAATTCTCCAACAACAACGAGGTATTGCCATCAGCACAGGCGGGCCTCGTGCCCTTGCTGGCCCTGCGTGTGACAGTATGGCCTCGGAGCCACGGTCCTCAGCCAGTGAGGGAAGAGGCCGGTGCCGATCCGGGCACCGCGGGCCACGCTCAGTCCTGGAGGGAGGGGAGGCGAAGGGGCTCCGTGCTGCCCTGCCCTGGTCCTGTCAGGTGGACTGCTCACAAGGGTCTCTCCCCCCCATCAGCCTCCCTTTCTCCCTCCGCCTCCCCCCCTCCATCCCAAGGCTGCCAGGCATTCATCCATATCTTCATCCATCCATCCCAAAGTCGAAAGCCTGTCTCCAGCCTGGGCACCCTAGGTGCTGGGGATGTGGCTGTGTGTGCCCCTCATCAGGCGGGTATAGAGCCCCAGCTCTGGGTCTCCCAGGCTCACGTTCAGACACAGGCTCCAGCCCTTGCTGAGTCGGGGCTCACAAGATCCATTCTCAGCTCAGAGCCAGAGTCCCAGCGTGTCCGCCGTTCTCGAGGGCTTATTTGCAGAGATGATGAGGACACAGCTTTCATGGGGCACCGGCAGGGTGGCAGGCACACCAGGTGCTGGGTGGGCCACCTCGCTGCTCAGCTTCGTGCCTCGCTCCTCCCTACATCTCCTCCTCACCCCGGGAAGGCCCCTGCGCCTTTGGGCCTTTGTGCCTTTCCCACGCGCCCTCGCAGGCGCCCGCCCTGGCCCTGGCCGGTGTGCACACCTGTTGTCTCCTTTGGTCCTTGGCCTCCAGTTCACAGTGGAGCGATGGTGGTGGCCGGCCAGCACTGTGGCTCGCTTTCCCTCTTTGACTGATGAGCTGGTGTCAGTTCCTGTCCCTGCGTGCTAGCCCTGGCTAGTGCCTGCCTGGAACCCCACTCAGAAGCGTCCGCGAGCAGGACAGCAGGCCATTTCCAGGCCACGCCTGACCCTGCACCCTCTCCCTTCCAGAGTGCTGCCAAGATGATCAAAGAGACCATGGACAAGAAGTTTGGCTCCTCCTGGCATGTGGTGATCGGCGAAGGTTTCGGGTTCGAGATCACCCACGAGGTGAAGAACCTCCTCTACCTGTACTTTGGGGGCACTCTGGCCGTATGTGTGTGGAAGTGTTCCTGACACCGTCCCCCACAGGGCCTTCGCCTGCCTCTCTTCTGAGATGGAGCACAGCCCCAGCAAGTCCTGGCTCTTTCCAGGAGCGCATGGGCTCTTTTCTTTTGTCCTGTGTAGTACCAGTTTCCTGAGCCACGCCGTGTGTGTGTTTGTCCACATCTCTCCTCCTCGGCCCAGTCAGGCTGTGGACAGGCCGAGGCATGCGTCTGTAGGGGCAGGGTGGGGAGATAGGTCAGGGTGAAGGATTTCTCTCACTAGGACATGGTGGTCCCACCTTTCTCTGGGCCAGGAGCCCCCTGCCCTTCAGTCCCCAGCCCTGCTGGGAAGTGTCCGCTGTCCTTGTCTTTAGTGGCCACATGGAAGTGGCCCCCTGAAGGAGTCTCTCCTTCCAAGAAACTTGCAGCTTCTCTCCTTGTCCCCTGGGGAAGTGGCACCCCCCCCCCCCAGGCCTGGCCCCAGTGTGACCCCAGGCTGAACAACCACGGCTTCTCATCAAACCACTGGCTCGCCGGCCCTGGCTTGGGCATGAGGACCAGGCAGCCTTCCTGTCCTCCCCGCCCGGCCCAGCCGTGCAGTGAGAGCCGAGCTGGGGTGCCAGGCTGGGGTGCCAGCCTCTCTGCCCTCCAGGAGAGGGCCCTGAGGCGTCACTGAGCCCCGGTGAGACGCAGCCCCTTCGGCAGGAGCCGGGCCTGCAGGGGCCTATCAGGGACCGCATGCTGATTTGTACTTCTATCTCTGCTGGCTTTTCTATATTCTTTTTGAGTATAGGGAGAAGGGTTTTAGTAGAAGGGTGAATCCTATTTTACACAGTGGTCTTATTTATATACATGTCTTGGTTTTTACAATTAAAATAACCAAACTGACCTTGGTCTTCAGCCTCTTCACTTTTAGGGGAGGAAAGGCAAAAGGATGTCTTCGGGCTTGGGCGGGTCCTGGGAGCTCTGCACCCACATCCCCACCTGCCCCCCGCCCCCCCTCCCCCCCCCCCCCCCCCCCCCGTCCCCCGTCCCTCACAGCCAGGGCCGGGCCTGACTGCGCTCCTGCGGTTCCCGCATGGTGTGGTTTGGTGGAGGCCAGGCCCCAGGAGCTGGAGGTAGAACAGCAGAAACGCTGCAGATGTTGTCCAGATGTGAAAAGTGGATGTTCTAGGAGGAGGGAGGAATGGCCGGCGGGAGGGGGGGGGGCAGATGGCGGACGCATGCACAGGAAGGGAGAGTGGGTCTTGTCAGGCGTGAGGCTGCTACCAGCCCCTGCACAGTAGGAATGAATGGACGTGGCACAGTCAGGGACATGAGGCTCCTGCAGCTCAGGACCTGGTGCTGGAGTGCAGGACTCAGGCCAGGGAACACTGGCCATGCGCCGTGCTGGCAGGCTGCTGTCCTCTTGCCCACTGAACTAGGGCAAGACAGGCCAAGGCTCGATTGCCCACAAGTCCTGGGAGGCTGTCTCCATGCTAGATCGGTCAGCAGCCATGCTGGATGGGAGTGTGTGCTCACGTGTGTGCACATACATGTGCGCATGGAGGCTTGCTGCCCTGTGCTGGCCAGAAGCAGACGCGTTGTCACTGTGACCACCCCAGGCCAGCCATCTGAGCAGGGGGCTTGACAATCTAGCCTCAGTGGGGGTTCCAGTCTGCAGGACTTGGGAGACAACTCCTTACCGAAACCTTGTGCCACGTCGGCTGCTGCCAGGGAGACGGGGAGTCGTGCAGATGGGACCGGAAGGGCTGGGGCAGGGGCAGGTGGGAGGTGACAAGGGGGTGCCGTAGTCTGGAATAGCCGCAAGGATTAGCTGCCTGCCTGGCATCTGTTCCTCTACTCCACCGCCTGTGGGTGCCTGCGAGTGCAGCCCGCTCCGCCCACAGCAGGGACAGTGGAGTGGGGGCTCCCCCCGGATGCCTGCCTCTCGGGTTGCTGCAGTCTTTGCTTGCCCTGTGTGAGCTGTGTCATTCCTGTGTCCCTTGCACTGTCCCTGGGGATGGGGTGCCAGCGGCCAGCTTCCCAGGATTAGAGAGAGGTACTCAGTCACCTCTGTCACTTCTGCTCCCAGGTGGGGTGGCCATTGGGGTGGAGCAGGTGTGTTTCCCAGGGAAGCTTTTTCCTGGCCCCAGTGGCTCTGCTTCCCTTAGCCCATGCCCACTGGGCCAACCCCAGGGCTGTTGCTGCACCAACGAGAAGGAGGGATGACGGCTCAGGAGAGAGAAGGTGGGTCCCTGGGACTGGGGAAGTCACATGGGGAGGTGGCATGGAGCCAGGCCTTGGTGTTTTCCTGGGGGAGGGAGGAGCAGGGGGTGGGGTAACGGCTGTGTAAAGGGGTTCCCACCTTCCCCTCCCCACTTGGTGGGGTGATGGAATTAAAATCGTGCCCTCTAGGAAGCCATACGGTGTGGCTGACGCCGGGTCTTCTCCGTGATCACCACGACATAGGAGTATTAGGCCCAAGATGCAGATTCCAGTGTGTCAAAGAGACCCCTAATGGCGAAGGTCAGAGAAAGGAAGAGGAGAGGTGGCCTTTCGATCCATTTTCTCAGACAGACATTTGCTTTAGCTTTACATAGTGGCCTTGGGGACGGGGGGGGGGGGGGGGGGGGGGACAGGTGCGCATAATTATTAACCAGCCCTGGAAATGGGTGTGCATGCTCTGCAGAGGTCTGCGGAGGAGGCTAGTGGAGAGAGGGAAAGGAAGGGGCTGGCAGGGAGTGTGTCCCCTGAGGAGGGGTGGTGGTCGGGGTCTGTCCTTCTGGGGGCTCGGCTGCTCTTTCCTGGAGAGCCTTCCTGTACTGTCCTTCCTGGAACCCAAGGTGATTCACAGGAGGGAGTTTCAGAGCGGAGGCAGGTATGAAATGGAGGCACGGATACCAAGCTTGTCTCCTGCTTGTAGTTCATTCATGGCTCAAATAAGGACTCAGGGGCTTTTCAGTAAAAGCAGCTTTTCCTGCTGCGATATCCAAAGGCGGCCCTGTCCCCAGGCACATGGAGATTGCAGCTTGGGGTCAGAGCCCAAGGTCCAGCCAGGACTTTGTACCTTAGTCTGCTGGCCTCCTGGTCCCTCCTGTGGGCCATGCACCACCCAGCCAGCTCCCTCACTGCCTCCTGTGTGTGAGGAACTTGGCTGCCCGGACACGGACACGGCAGTCCCAGCTGCAAGGTCTGGGATTACACGCAGCTGGAGGCAGGGTCCCTGCCCCCCACCTTCGGGAGTGTCTGGAGGGAGTGACACCCAGTTCAGAGAATAAAACCCGGGACCCCCTACACACTGGGGCCACAGAGCCACAAGTCCCACCCACCGGAGGGGGGGGAAGCTTCTAGAAGGCAGTGGTTTGAGTTGAAGGTGAAGGGCCAGGATTGGGGACCAGGATCTGTGCCACGCAAGGAGGGAGGGCAGCTTGGGGTGGGGGGAGAGGAGCAGCCTTTGAAGCTCTCTGTGGGGCCTGTGGAGAACCTTCTGGTGAATATTTAATGTGGCCTTGGAAGGCACGGAGAAACTCCAGGATCTGCTTAACCTACTTCCTTTTTCTCTGAGGACTAAGCACGTAGGTGGGGGGGGGAGTTGCCTTGGGTGAGGGGGCCCTAGCCCAAACCAGTGTCCCCACCCCAGCAGGGAGTCTGAGCTGCTTCAGAAGAGGCTCAGCAGTTCCTCAAGAGCAGGAAGCAGCAGGGCTTGGGTCCCCTAGACCCTCCCCCGGCTTGGGGGGGAGGGGGCTCGCCAGCAGCAGCCCCACTCTGTTCTATTTCCCTTTTGTTCTCCTCTCATCTTGTATTTAAAGCAACCACCTCCCACCGCCAGCTGCCCGCTTCAATCCTTAGAAAGGCCGTGGGGCGGGGACACAGTGGGTCCAGGAGGCAGAAGATTGGAATTATTATTAATATTCCCAGACTCTTCGGTGCCCTACATGTGCCAAGCGCAGCACGGAGTGTCCTGCGCCCGATCTGGCTTCGTTCTACTGTCCCTTCCGCCGGGCGACAGGATTCCCAAAGGCCTCTGACCCCAGAGGCTGAGCAGGAAACCTGCCCTGTGGTGGGGACCAGCTGTGGCCAGCCATGGGGCTGTTCAGATTCACAGCCAACGTAGACGCTGGGGCCTAGGGAGGGGCTTTAGCCATGCCAAGGCCATTGGGGGAATTGGGTCAGGGGCAGCGCCGGGAGCCAATGCCACTTTGGGCTCCACTCCTGGTGAGTGGTGTGGCAATCTGGAAGCTGGGGTGAATGGAGCAGAGGATCATTGTCTCTAGACCCCTGTAGATACCTGGGTCCCACAAAGCCAAAGCACCAAAGCAGGAGGGAGGCAGGGTGACCACACACACACACACACACACACACACACACACACACACACACACACACACACACACACACACACACACACACACACACACACACACACACACACACACACACACACACACACACACACACACACACCCCCCGCAGTGGACAAGACCCCACACAGCTGGGATCAGACTCTATCCTTTCAATCCTGAGCCAGGAAAGACCACCCGGACAGAAAGTGCACGTGGGGATTTTCCTGTGCTCTTCCAGCCTGGAAACGGCCCAGTGAAGTGGGCCAGGGAAGTCTCCTGAGGCCCTCTGTAAGTCTTCGGGGCAGTCCAGTGGACAGAGCCTAGACCCAGGTGCCCTACTGCACACCCAGCACCTCCAGACACCTTCCCCCTGCACCCCTAGACACCCATGGACAGCCACTGAGTGTCCCCAGTGGGCTTTGTGTCACCTTACCTGTAAAGGCTGCACTTTAACTTAATCAGTGGCTGGGACTATGTGATTCGGTGTAGTGAGTGAAATGATGGGTAGAGGAAGACTTGATGGATGGAGGGAGGGAGGAAGGGGAGGGGTGAGTGAAGACAGAAGAGGCATTTCTTTTTTCTTTTTTCTTTTTTTTGCTGGTCATGGGCCCTGAACTCTAGGCCTAGGCACTGTCCCTCAGCTCTTCAGCTCAAGGCTAGTGTTCTACCACTTCAGTCACAGCGCCACTTCTGGCCTTTTCTGTTTATGTGGTGCTGAGGAATCGAACTCAGGGCCTCATGCATGCAAGGCAAGCACTCTACCACTGAGCCACCTTCCCAGCCTCATTTCTTTGAGGCATTTCTATGAGGCTCAGAGCAGCAGGACACACAAGGTCAGAGACACAAGGTCAGAAACTGGGTCAGGGCCTGAACTTTGTCCTGTGATTTCTGATGCCTTCTGCATCAGAAGTTTCTAGGCCTATGGCAAAAGGTTGCAGGCTTGTTTGGGATGCACAAAGTCACTCCCCTTTGACCTGGTCCCTGAGGAAGGTGGAGAAAAGGAGAACCTTGCTAACTGATCTGGCAGCAGAAGAGGGGCCACATGAGTCTTAAAGTTGGAGCTGCATTCTTTCAAGGGTCCTACCACCTGCCAGCCATGTGGCCTTGACCAAGACTGTGTCTCCTGTGTTCTAATTTAAGATTAATTTTTGGTCAATTGTGGGGTGTGAATTCAGGGTGCTGTCCCTGAGCTCTTTTGCTCAAGGCTAGCATTCTACCACTTTGAGCCATGGTGCCACTTCCGGTTTTCTGGTGGTTAGTTGGAGCTAAGAGGCTCACAGACTTTCCTGCCTGAGCAGGCTTTGACCCAGGATCCTCAGATCTCAGCTTCCTGAGTAGCTAGGATCACAGTTGTGAGCCACCAGTGCCCAGCTTGTGCGTTGACTCATCAGGGACACAGAGTTCTGCAAGAAAGGAGCACAGCCCCAGGGGCTGATGGGAAACGGCCACCTGCTCTGCCAGCCAAGGATGGAGCTGGGTCACAAGCTGCACTGAGGGCACAAGAAGGCCCAGCTCCCCAGTCTCACCTGACCCAGCACTAGTCAGAGCTAGACTTAGTTTCCA